CGAAAACTGAGAGCTACACAATTACTCGGTAACGCACAATAAATCTATCACAAAACAGTTTACAGATAGCATAAATACGAGTTTCAATAGTTGGAAACATAGTTAAATGTCCTTAACAACATTCAATTGTGAATTGTTAGACTTAACAATACGAAAGTCTGAGTGAGGACAGAGATCCTTTTGGACACAACAATCGCATTATTCGACTTCAAAAATTGGCCCCCATTTTCTCTCAAAAGGGGGGGAAAAGATGTTATAAAGAAGAACCTTTATGTTAAGAGCAGATAAGAGACAAGTCCGACTGGGAAAGAAATGCAATTTCGCTTCAAAGGAGACGACTTAAACCAATACCCAAAAGTGGGAAAACAGGAATAGAATCAGAGAAAGAAGGAAAATAAAGAAATGGCACCAAAATTCCGTCTATTCTACAATAAACTGGATTAGACTGACAGAGAAGTGACCAGGTTTTGACCGGGGTGCTTGAGAAATCTGAAAGGCGTTCTTCTACCGAGCACTTGTAAGAGCAAAGATTCTACGAAGAAGGAAACAAAATCTGTTCCTGACATCTAGACTTCATTTTACACACAATTCAAACCAAGTCTGCAATAAATATCGTACGCAATTGTTTCTTTTTTAACGTGCAAGTGATCACGTCTTACGCGTACTCTGCTTTCCACTAAAAACAGTTAGTTTAATCTCATTTACATAATTAATTATCAATGATAACAAGTGTCTTGCGATGAGTGCGTAAGTGTGCTACGTCGAGAGGGTGGCTTGCGATTTCCCTGCTCCAGTGACGACAGACAGACATTAAGCGTAGCTTTGATCAATTTAGCAGATATAATGTTATTTTTCAGAACAGCTGCCTGATGCAACGCGGATTTTGTGAAAGGAAATACTCTGTCCGTCCGTCTGTCTCCTTGTTGCTTCTGTGCTTCGTAATATCCTATCAAAGTCTTAAAGCCGTAGACTATTATAAAGGAACAAACCCGAGTTTTGATAAATTTGAAGGAAAAAATAGTCACTCTTTGCTGTCGGCAAGATGACAGGTTTTCACAAGTTATTTACTTTACGTTGTGGAAGTTGGCAACAGGTAGGCGGGAAGTTGGCGACAGGAAATGCATCAGAGGTGGAAGCAGGAGGGAAACAGATTATTCCCGGGAACCAAAGCAGAACTTGAGCGAATGTGACGCCAATAGACGTTCAACTGTCACTCATTAAGTTCAGGATGGGTAAAGGATTATTGTTACGCTAAGTCGGCTAAGTACCGAGCAAAGTTTCATTAATGTTTGTTCATCACGCAACGAAAACGCAGGCCAATCCAGACAGTACATTTGTTGTTATTATTATTATATTTATTCACCCCTTTATAGGGTATTTACTTCTGTGTACCCGAGACAGACCTTGCCCCCTGAGGTCCATAGTGCAGCAGCTATTTCCGAAATACATTTTGTTTTTAATACGCGTTACATGTATTATATAGTTTTATTGTGAGGGATGTGCATATTTTACGACAGCGACTTTCTAATGACGTATGAAGATCCCAAAATGGCGGTCTTCTGAAGTTCCCTGATGTCGTGTTGGCCCGGGATGTTAGTCAAATATTTTCTGAGTGACCAGGAGACAGTTCCAGTTGCTCCTGTAATTATTGGAATTACTTTCACTTTCCACATTCGCTGTATTTCAATGAGAAGGTCCTTCTATTTCAAGATCTTCTCCGCATCCTTCTTCTTCTTCTTCTTCTTATTATTATTATTACGTGTTGTATTTTTTTTGGCATTTCCGGGTGTGGTATGTGGCCCTGAAATGAGATGTCATGTTGTCTAAAAGCCGTGCTGAGGAATTGTGGAATATTTTTGGTAGAATTTGTACTTTGCTCACTTTGATTTCTTTGAAATTCTGTACGATGTAAGAAAGTCCACTTTGTTATTACAAGTCCCATTAATGAAGCGACTGACTTATCGGCCATATGACTATAAAACACAGAATGGCCAGCCTAGTCAGTGTTTGCTCCTACTGCCCGTCGATCTGTGCGAATCTCTGCATTTGATAGCATTCCGTCCCTGAAGCAGGAGCCAACAAACCTTCAGCAGTCTCTGTTTGTCTTACCAAGACTTTCGAGAGAGACTCCGTATAACTTACAACGTACGTGCAATAGTTTGTAATGCCATCTAAATATTAGCAGTTACTAATCCTCAAATCTTCAAGTGTGGGGACAACTGCACCCCAACCCCCCGCACTTCGTCTTGCAAACACACCCCTCTACGATCTGAAGAGCTCTTCTGATATGAATATATTGTCTTGGTCATTTGGCGCTACTGAGCTAATACAAGTGCATTAGTCGCTTATAGTGGTCGCCCTTGTTCAAAATTCTAATAAGGAACACCAGAAAGTCATACGTATATATATAATGTTAAAGTGTGGTGTTTTCTTCGCGGTACGGACTGGATTCTTGAATATTATTGAGACGAGTTTCGGCTTCAAAGAAATAATCACATTTACCATCACACCGGTGAGCTTAAGAGGGGGTGAAGGGTGCAGGATTTGGGAAACGCCCGTCTGTACCGGGAACAGGGCAGTTACTAAAAATAGGAAAGGCAAAAACAGAAATGAGTAAGGAAAGGAGAATAAAGAATGAACATGGCAATAAAATTAGAGAGTAAGGAGGGAAAGTCAAAGCAGGACTACGGAGCTCGTCTGCATACGAAGGGAAATCACTTAATTTGAAAAGAAAAAAAATCTAGCAGTGCGCTTTCTACCCCACTTTTAACATTTAAATTGAGTAATCAAACCGCATCCACCGCATTGTATTCATACGCTACGCGTTAACTCCCCACGCACAAGACTGAAATAATAATAATAATAATAATAAATACAGACTTGGATTTCAGCAGTTTGCTGGGAAACGGGGGTGCCAGTGTACAAAAGCTGCCAGATGCAGACCGAGCCGTCGTGTACCCCCTCCCCCACCCCCTTACTTCTCACCCCCGAAACCCAGAGCTGTATGCACAGCAGCGTTCCCATCCGCGTAGTGGTAACTAGCTTTACCGTGGATCGCGTTTATTATGAAGATATTCTTCAGGAGCAATGAAGTGGAAATACAACAGCCTCGGTACCTCGGAATAATATTATACGAGGCGGCGGGCGAAGCTGCCTTCCACAGCAACGCAGCCCACGAATGCACTTCCAGACTCGCGAAACGAGAAACGCAGCTTCTTTTACCGGAACAGATGACCGGTAAGACAGCTGTTCAAGCAGTCGCCATCCTAATTTGAAATCCTCCTCGCAATCTCATCTTCTTAATGTTCCGTGTTTGCAGAAAGTCCTCTTGTTACCGACCTGTGCTTCCAGTGAATCCTTTTTACGTGTAACGCCGTGGAAATCAGCACCAAACACTTCACACGTTGTCTGATGATGACTGAATGAGACAAGGCTCCTATACAATACATCATCTTGGCGTCTTTTTAATTCATCCTTCACCGTATTATCTGAATGAAGTATGCGACATCCCTCATTCGCCTGCGAGCGGATACAAACAATTGTAAGAGAATTGTGGACATAATCTGAGGATGTCGCATTAAAATATTGCAGTTCTTAACCTGGGCTTAGACTGATTTTGTACGCGTTCCTATAGGTTATTTGTGCAAAGTAATAAATAATTCGTGTCTTGGTTAAAATAAAAATTTATTAACACAGAAAGAAAACACAGATGGAAAATCGGAACCAAATTCAATATATTTTACGACCGAAAATAAATAAAGTTCAGGCCTATATTTTGCGAAGAAATAAATTAATAATATTTGCTTTCGTTTCAAAATATTTTGTCATAATTTTATGTACTGATTTGCACGAGCGTGAAAGCTGGTTTTGGTAACCTAACGGAAGAATATTTTGAGGTTGTCTGAGAGAGAAAATAACACGTGGGTGGAGGCAATTACCTAATGACTAGTTGGAACGGCGTAATTTTTCTGTCATGTTTTCCGTTTCACAGGCTTAATGTACTCATCATATTAAGCGATAAGCTTGTCTTCACAAGTGTCTCTACGGGCCGAATTGCCACAGTCTTCACGTTAGAATTACGTAAGACGTGCTGGGGTGTTCAGGTGGACAGGTTCTCGCCTACGCCTCAGAGCAGTAATGACAAAGTTCCGAATCTCGGCGTCGGTGGTAATTCAGAAGTAGCCAATGGAACAATCTGAAATATGTCACTCGAAAATAGAGACAGGTTCCACATTTACGATACTCCGCAGACATTGTACCTCGATCAGTTAGTGTGTAACAGCTGTTGCCTGGTTTACTGATGGATAGGGCATGCAAAGACAGCTCCAAGACGCTGAGCGCAGATGCTGGCTGGCGGACGTTTGAGCAGGCCGACATCAGACTTGATTCTGCCATCCGATGTGACAGAGCACGCTTCAGAAAAAAGGAGCGCCCTTAAGCCACAGGCAAAATGTAACATAATATGCCTTACCATAATTTATACCATTTTTAATATATTAAATCACTATAGGTAATCCTGCACTCCTGAACAATACGTGGATACAAACAAGAAACTAGTTACGGTTCGTATTGTTGACAGAGGTCGACGCAGACCTGAGGGAGCTGTAGGGTTTCTACCAGGTGGTGGAGTCGCATTATGAGTGAAGTTTATTTGTTGATACTTAGGCACATGGCCTTGTCATGCGGCCAACAGACACGAAATCTGTTTTCATAAAAGCTTACTTGTACGGGATAGATGGATTGGAGGAGGGTGGGGGGTTGAAAATTGAGGAATCCTCAGGTTACTGCAGAGGGTAACGTACAAGAAACCTCTTGCTTAAGCACCATGTGATGAAGACGTTTCCTGGATCTTTAAGACTTGACTCCTTTTATAGTGAAAACGTCGAAAAATGCGTAATTAGCTAAGCAGGGTACCTGAGTGGTACACATAGTCGATACTGCACGAGGCGATTAGGGAACCCGCTGCAATCCTGGGACCAAAATATGTCGTTTTGTTGCAGGTGTCTTCCATAAATCGGGTGCTAAGAAACCTCGCAGCTCAGAAGGAGCAGCAGGTGACCGCGCAGAACGAGTCTGTGTACGACAAGCTGCGGATGTTCAACGGGCAAGGCCCCCCGTGGCCTTGGTACCCCGGCACCCCACCCACGCCTCATCTCAACCTCCCGCCGAACCCCACAGCCGCTACCATTCTGCCCGGAGGTCCGGTCACCAGAGACGAGATGCAGAAGAGAGGTAAGGACACTCTCACGAGTAACCCTGACGCCAATACTCGTTACCCGTCGCCGGCCTCAAAATTATTTTGTTCTGTGCAGAGTGTGCCATTTCAAACGGCAACCTCTGATTAATCTTACAGTCACCATTGCACTTTTCAACAAATGCTTTTACCGACAGGGTCCTTACTGAGAAACGGATAATTCCTCAGCTGGTAAAACAATTCCCCGCCTTTTATTGAAATAAAACGTTCATTACCGTGTTCACAACATTCGCCACAGGACTGTACTTTGATTCAACGGAGTCTTTGTTCTCGTTTTTGATCTGCATCCCCGAAAGACGTAAATGAATTCGCAGAATTTTGAAGGAAATTTGTTTACCCAGCAAAGAGCCATTTGCCCCAAACGGGGTGCCCAAATTCAGAAAGACTGAAAGATGACTTTAGCGTCAACATTAACTGACTTATTGTGGCAAATAATAATGATAATTGGATTAAAATATAAACATTAAACTCTCTTGTGCTGAGCAGCCTACTTGTTCATTCACAACCACACAAAATTTCGTTAATTTTGTTTATAGTATTTTTAAAATGTAATTTTTTAAAATGTATTTATCTTAAGGCTCTTGAAAGCTGTTCAGAATAATCCATAAAGCATTTATAGGTTCATTTGCATATAAAAGGCGTCTGTTAAGAAAATGATGCCTATTAGACGACGTTAGAGCGTATTTTGGTGATATGTAACATCTAGATGATAAATCATTTATGAGAAATAGACTTCTCAATTAAGGGGCTGTCCGTCCTGCCGAATATCCTAAGCCCCTTTTTTTACAAATTCCAAGATTGTACATGAAATAGGCCACGATATTTTCCTTCTGAATTCGACATTAATAATAATAATCATCCCTTACGATGTTAAGGCATGCTATGCAGTTGGAATAGGTTCACTGAACGAGCAGGGAAATTCTAAACGACGATGGAACGTGGATGTCTGAAGAACGCGAGGTTTTTCCCACTGCGTGGGGGGTCGAACTCTGTCCAGTCGGTCGGAGTGCCAAGGCGATTATGTTCATGGAAAAACAATTACCATTCAATTAACTATTGAATGCGGTTGGAAGAGACCGGGGGGTGGGACGGGGATTGTAAGCGAGCAAGCAAGTACGAGGGTCGGCCAGCCCATGCAACCCGCATGGCAAACATTTCTGGAACTGCCATTGTATAATACAAACAACACAGCGGGTTTCCCAAACATTAACAAACCCATCCATAACAGAACATGTTGACGGGATGTCAGGTGCTGCCCCCCGGTGTAGCTGTTATGTACTAAGCGTCTCAACATCTGAACACACATCACGTAATGACGTAGCTTGTCGTCATCGCGACGTTGAAACAAAACACTGTCAGCTTTGGCTCAGTAGGTCTTGTGACGTCATACCGATAGTTTGTTTTTTTTCGTGAGGAAAAGTGGGCCATTGACTACGTATGAGGTACACATCAAGGAAGATGAGATGGACACGACTTGCAGATGAAGGGAAAAGACACGTAAGAGGAAAGATAATATTAAAATGAAGATGTTCTCTAATTAAGCACGACGCATGAAGACGTATGGGGAAATGGAAGTGTAGATTCTAAAACTTCAGCACAAAACAGTGCACAGTCAGGCTCCGACCGGTTTGTCCAAATCGGCCCTTCGTTTTCTAATGTCTCCGTCTCTCCCTTTCCTTAACAGACGCGGGTCCTCTCACAAACTCAAGTCAGCCCGTGACATTTTACCGACGGCGTGCGTTATTTTCCTCAGACCCTCCTTCTTCTCATTTCTTCCCGAACGACGGAATGATTGCCGTGCGAATTAATTCGCGCCTCTAATAAGACAAACTGCGGCAGGTTAGCAGAGCGGTCTTCATGGTGACGTCGTTTACTGGCTTCCGGCTTCGTGACAACCTGGTCTGTCCGTCCGGAACACACCGAAGTGATACTAAACAGCTGGTCTTGTAACGTCTGCGAAGAATCACATGACGTCTACTTCTTCACTCTGTGGAAGGAAATGTAAGGTTTCATCCCAGCATCTGCCTTGAGGGACTGAGGAAAACGACGTTTTTTGGGTCGAGATTTGTACCCAGAACCTCCCGATTAAGACGCAGAAGCGTTAAATATGCGACTCCACATGAAACAATACGAAATTTGGCTTGTTTCCGTTTGCTGAATGTGATATTTTAATTAAGTGGGAGGTGTTTCAGAAATGCACATGTCTCTTCAAAGAAACAAGAAATGAGACAAAGAGTAGAGATGAAGGTAGAAAGAGATTAAAGGAGAAAGGAGCAAAAGGAGAGTTTGGATGAGTGTGTGAGATTCAGGATAATACCATCTCTAACTGGAAGCAAGATAAAATTAGTTTGTGCAAGAAGTTCCCCGCCCCTTGATCCTCTCCGCCCGCAACACTCTAGAAAGGGGTTTGGGGAAGACGGAGCAAACAGAAGGAGCTCCCCCCCCCCTCCACCACCCGGCACGGCACGGATCATGAGATCTCAAGAATCGATGGCGGGCCTCGTCCAACGGGTGTTAGAAAAAGTCAGACGACGTTTAACTAATGCCGAACATTTATTTACTTATTTATTCCTAGTTTGACAACTCTTGGATTGCAAAGCCAGTGTAGTGACTAAGCTAAGGGTTGGACGACCGGGGTTTGAATCCCGACAGCGTTCTTTCTCTTTTTACCACCGCGTCCGGGGGGTCCAACTAGCAGCCTCTTAGCCGAGTGGTACCGGAGTAGATAATGCGGCCGGAGCGTGAAGCTGACTACTTACCTCAACCCGGTCCTGAGGTTAACAATGAACGGAGCCATACCTCCACTCCCCTGTACGCCTTGTCATGCTCGCAGGTGAGTTCGGCTAACCCTTCTCCGCGGCGCGCGAGTGGAGGCTGGGGGTGTACCCTAATACCTTCAGAGTCCTTCTGTATCCCCCAATCAATGGCGCGTGTATGAGGGGATGCTGGCGCCTGCGCATTGCGCCACAGCCTGATTCCCGATGACAGACGTGAAACGTCCGGTAACTAAGGGAACAAACAACCTAGCCAGTGCAGCAGTGTACTAAAGGAACAATTATTATTTATTTATTTGGGTTATCGAAAAGAAAGAGTACACGGAAAAGACCTAGTTGTGAATGGAGATAATGTTGAAAATGACCTTTGTTAAATAACACTGGTGTGAGATGGCGCTCTTGTGAACGCCGCGTGAAGTACGAGATCGCTGTTGCGTCCTAGGCCATTCATGCATTTACGCCAGCCCAAGTCATACAAAATGACGTCCACGTTGGAACAATGACCCCAGCCATGCACGATGACTACCCCCAAAGGAACAATGACCTCCGGTCGTGTATGTTGAGTACCCCTAGCGAAAATCGCTGCAGACAGACAGACAGACGTGGACGGGACCATAAGATGTTCTTCGTTGACGCTCTACCGTGAAAAGCTAACTGATAGTTGCGTCAGACTGAAATTGTGCAACAACGTTCATTAAAATCCAAAGGCTGCCTTGAATAATTCAAAAGCTTCAACGAAAGTTCCTTTGTTCTGCTTTAAAACGCGAGGAATGCACGGGCTAAGAGAACAGCTCGCAAATTTCATTGGGCTACTGACTTGTGCACGCGACTGTACTGGCAGTGAGGGTGTGTTCAGAAGCGGAATTAAGTTGAAATGGAGGGGGGAATCGAACAGAGGGTAGGAGGGAATGAAGAAGAGATGAAATGATGAAACACAGGACAGGATAGGATAGGAAACGCCTAAAGAAATGAAATTGTGCCCAGGACTTACGAGGTTCTTTTTTCCCTTCAAAATCGAACTTGGAAAAACCAGGAACATCTCGTCCACAGCGGGAAACGAGGGTCAGAGAACGTATAAACCCGTACCCGCGTTCATCTCTCGATGACTGGACGGGCAGGCAGTCCACGTACTTTGTAACCCTTTCAGACTCCAAACACATCGGTTCAATCGGAGTGTACGATAGAAGCACATTCAATGATTGAATTCTTATCATCCATTCAAGATATCAGACTAATATTTTGTATATACTGTACATGCAAATTACACCACTCATCTCATTGCCTCTTACGTCATGACCATGTTAACATGCGTATTTGGCGACAGGATAAATTATGAAGCTTCTCGTCACGCAACTATATCGGTCCATCGCTTCTAAATATTAAACAAAATATAATAATTAATTCTTACGTGTATCACTCAGGCATATTATATGAAACTATGCCACTATCTAAATAATACAAAAATATAACAAAGAGTTTAAAGCGAATGTTATATTAATTTAAGTATAACAGAACCTGAGGGACCTAATTTTCAGTGCACAAATTTCAAGTCGCGTCTGAGACTAACGTAAGATAAATTGAAAAAGCCTTGGCGTACAGACAGTCAGAGGCAGGAAGTGGAGTTTGCTACTAAAAGTCTCTCAATCTACAAGAGACGACGGAAGATAAAACCCTTCGCCACAGAGTCTAGTAAATTAAGATCGGAGGAAGTGGTCCGCTTGTTCTACAACTTCCATCTCGGTAGGCCATGATTACATTCATTGGAACAACTGTGTGTGTGTTTATGCTGCTGCAATTTCCCAGCCACGTGGAAAACAGAACGAAATAGCAGGAGAAGACGAAGAGAGAAAAAATAAATAAAAACAAACAGACAAACACAATTCCCCCCCCACCTCCCTTGGTCCATCTGTAACTCACGGGAACAGCAAATTCTCAGGATACGACGAAACGGAATTAGTGTCTTGACACGCGACATTATCATACTTATGAATTATCAGACTTTTATGAGTGCAAATGCGGGCGTTTTGTAGTAGAATATTATTTTAATTTTAATATTTACTACATTTCTATGACACAAGGCACAGTTTAAAGAAAACTGGGAACAAAACAGAAAATCGCCTATTTTACACATCAGATGATAGACTTGTGGGTGAACTGCTTTCACTCTTATATACTATAATGGCAGACTGACATTAAGCAGTTACTTATTTAATATTTCTTTATTTTTGTAATAATAAATTGCATAATATAATATCCTATTTACAGACCCGAAATAATTAAAGCTGTTTAAACTGAAACGTTTGAAATTCCATTTTTACCCCTAGCAATAACTGACGAAGTTATTTTAAAGTAGATTTAAAATAACCAACTACAACACATTACTTACAAGGAAATAAAAATTGAATGAGTGATGACAACAGAATAACCATATTTTTTAAACTCCTTATTGGGCTACATGCACACGGTGGTCTAGCGGTTAGAACGCTGGCCTTGTAATCCTGGGGTCTCGGGTTCGATTTCCGGCGGTGCCCGAATTTATAACTTGTGTTGGGCAAGGCCGTGGTCTAGGCAACACGGAGTTTTCCTCCGTGGCATCCCAACAATTACTCCATTCACACACAGAAGAAGGCAATGGCAAACCACTTCTGGATCATCTGCCAAGAACGTATATGAACAGGTCCCAGTCCGAGAAAAGGATGGAAGGATCCTGTTCATATGGACCTGTCGTCAGACAGAACACTAAATAATAATAAAAATATTAAGCTACAACCATTTTCACCTTTTTAAGAAAAACAGCGTTGTCTTTAAAATATCTGTCAGTACTAGCGTTTGTACAATACTAAAAAGGATTTCCGTAAAATCATTTCGATTTCTCGAGAGTTTCAACTATTACTATTGTGGCAGTTAATGATTGATGATGATGATAATTTTCGTCCGCGAACAGCGCCATATGGCTCGTAAGATGCGTGATCCTGACAGCAGACTTACGCAACTATCGCAGTTGAACAACGGGCAGCTTGTGCACACAATTAATAATATTGTTAGCCATCGAATAATCCAAATATAATAAAGAAGTTTCCAGATCACTGGCTGGCACGTAACGAGCTAACGCTAATCCAATGTCTGAATTTGCTGTATTGCATTAGGTCCTGTGGTGTAATGACTTTATCTTGTAACGTATAGGGTCTGGTCCTCCCCCCCTCCTTGTATTTATGGTGCTGGGGGGTGAAAGACACGTGTCTGCTAGTGAACTACTCCTCTCAGTACTTAAGCACAGCTCGGAACATAATCGCAAATTTATAGTACAATCAAATGTTCCTATAACTGGATTAGAGCAACATGACGGTGTACGTCATGTTCAAATATGTACACTGGTGACGCTTTGCAGATATAGGTGTAGTGGAAGGATATTATTAAAATGAATCTCGAAGAAATACTACGAGCAAGTGCACCAGATCCATCTGCGTCATGATACGTCTAAAGGCTAGGAATTTATTGACCAGCTGAGCGAGTATCAGATTCACAAGAAGGACTCTGTCCCATGGAGATAGTTTGTTGGTTAATTGCATACAGGCCACTAATAAGAAATATATTTTTTCAGGTTTTTAAACAAAACTGGTCACCATAGTAAATTCTATAATTTTGGAACAATAAATATAAACAGAGAAAAGAAAGTATGGCCGTCGGCATGTACGATATTGTGACGTCTTAAAAGCCATATTGAAGTATTTCGAACCCCTCTTTCGCGTCGGATGTTTCTGTTTGCTTTTATGTTAATCTTTCATTAAATTACGCTATTAATTCCTCACTTTGTCAATTTAGCCAAAATTTTATTCTGAAAAATTTACGCGACGTAGGCCAAGATACGAAGAATAATGTTACGTGTTCTGTCAAAGAAATAGTTGTGAGAGTATTAACTGGATTCAGCTAGCTAAAGACAGGATCCAGCAGCGCGCTTTTGTAGACGCGGTAATGAAATTTCGGGGTCCATACAGGGCGAGGGATATCTCGGCCAGCTGAGCGACAAGCAGTGTGGTAGTCTAATTGTGTGGTGTGCTCTGTGTGTGTATGCAGCGGGAGACGTTGTTCACGAGAACACTTCCGACGGCAACTCGGAGCACAACTCCTCAGCCGACGAGGACTCGCAGATGCGTCTTCGACTGAAACGGAAGTTGCAGAGGAACAGAACGTCGTTCACCAACGAGCAAATCGACAGCCTCGAGAAAGGTAAAGGCGTCTCCTCTTGCCTCTTGTTTCCCAGGCGACGATGATTATCGTGATCCCATTCCTTACACCCACCGCGTTTTATCACCTCCTTCCCAGTTACGCGAAACGTGTCCGCTGCTGTGTGCTCCGTCCTCCTTTACCTCTACCAGGAAATAACAAGACTCTGGAAGCAACTTCATAATCAATTATTATTAGGGTGATTAAATTAAGGAGGATGAGATGGGAGGGACATATAGCACGTACGAAAGATACAAGAAACGTGTACAGAATTTCACTCGGGAAACCTGAGGGGACAGAAGCGTAGAGCGAAGAACAATATTAAAATGAATCTTAAGAGAAGAGATTTCAGGTACTGAGAGCGGCGAATATGGACATTAATGTCTCCTGGGATGTTGCGCCGTGTAGTCTGGTAAACGTTTAACGATACTTGAGAAGTGCTTCCTGCCTCCATCAACAGCGTGATCGTCGCCCTGATGATGGAGGCTTCCAGCATCTGTGAAACATCGCAAACTTTTACCAGACTACGCGGCGTAATATCCCAGGAGAGGGTCGTAATCGAATCTCACGAGAGTTGGATCAGGGATGTGGACTAGTGACCAGCTGTTGTGAACACGGTAATGAATTTTAGGGTTGTAAAAAATGTTGCTAATTTCTTGACTGTCTGAACGACTACTAGCTTTTCAAGGAGGACTGTACTCCTTGGAGTCAGCACACACTTTTTACATTAAAAGTTTGCCCTGCGTAACGCATAAAAGATGAAGGAAAATTTTATCTCAGAGAAGAGTTCGGGCTATAATGCAACAAGAAGAAATCAAAATGTTGACAAATCAATAAATCTGATGTATGGACCATTGATTTTACGTGGGACTGAGAGGCCTAAACTTCGAAGTTAATGATGAAGTCCACGTCAGACGACTGGTAACCTGACGGACCGGAAAATCAGTTCCTAGACGCGACTAGAAGGACTTCAGATGGTGTCCGGAGGGAGAAACCCAGTTGAAAGACAAAGAAAGTGAGGGACGAGACTCGAGGGACGGTCCGAGACTAGATCTGATTTTAGTTCCGTCTTTCCTTAATCTGAGGGTTTCCCTTCTGCCCGTGCGCCCCCCTCCGCCCCATCCCTCGTTCTTATTCAGATAAGAATGTCAAGATTGCTCTTCTACATTTATTTTGGTCTCTTCACTCCCTGTTTATCAGCTTCATGTTTCTAGTCTTTATTATTCTGTTGTTATCTATGTCTTTCTTCTGTCATGTGACGTTCATTTTTCGGTACATGTGAACTCTGCCTCTTTACATGTACGAGTATAACGCGTAAGTCGATATGTTATGAAATTACATAAAGCAATTTCGTGTTCGCACTGAAACACAGCATCTCTTGTTCCTTTGTAAGAACAAAACTTCAGCTATGCTTAACGAATTTATTTCAATGACGTTCTAATTTGGCCCTTTCATAAATATGATTAATAACGAAACGAAGTACTGTTTCCAAGCTCATTATAACTTTCTCGACTGCGTTTTGTTTAAAGTTTTAGGTCTAAGGGCGCACTTGTGGTTCGAAATTTTCGGGATCCGTGTCTTGGCGACCGCTTTATATAAACTTTTGTTGGTACAGAAGGCGCATTAACGTTTGTACAGGAGCCCGCTAACGCATCTAAAAATCATAAATTTATCTAATATTGCTAACTGTCTTTTACATTTTAAGAGTTGACTAGTAATTAAAATGAAGAGAAATATTATAAATCAGTAGATCTACATCGAAATTTTAAACCACTTTGGTGTATCGCCTGCAGTAACATTATACCACATTATAAAGTGCCAGAAATGTCCTTTCTTGAATGACAAGAGCAGTGAAATTTAATACGAACACTGTAAAATTTAAACTTTAATATTATTATTGTTATTACTGAAATTATTATATTTTTTTGCAAACTGTTATTCTTCTTCTTTTGTCTTCAGAGTTCGAACGCACTCACTACCCAGACGTCTTTGCGCGAGAGAGACTGGCTGAGAAAATTGGTCTCCCTGAAGCGCGAATTCAGGTAAGTAAAATATCAGCCCTTTTTTTCATGAGTTTCATACAAATTTGGGGACATTAAACTGTGCAGCGAGAGACCGGAATTGTCAGCTGAGCTGAGCCAATGAATCAGGGTCAAAAGTTCCCTCAAACCATTTAAAAACATTGATAGAAACCTTGCAGCCATGGTTATCACCTTTATATTCAAAATACTCCAGCTTCAGTGCGTACTTATTTTATCATTATACACATAGATTCAAAACAAACATAGCTTAACTAACTAAAACCCCTAGGTTCAGCGCCGCTGGTACCAAAATCATCCATTGGACATGATCTTGAGACACCTCCACCTCAACTCACTGTCTCTCTAAGATCCATCTTAATATTATCTTATAATATTCTCGGTTTTACATTACCTTCTCCCTACTGACATGTTAATTCAAGTCTTTCTTTCATATTTAAAACACGAAAACAACACAGACGAAACTGCGTTAATGTGAGATCTCCCTTGCACACAAAAGAACATACGGCTAGACTATAAAGCGAATAAACTGTTTATTCCTGATTTGTAGTCTCATATCTGACATTCTACGACTATAATGCTTAACATATTTTTGAAATTTACACAGTGAAGTAACTTAAAGATTACTTAATCAGGAATATTTATAAAATCATTCCTATCGCATTGTCTGTTTCTCCTCTCATTTTCTGTCTGTCTGTGGTTGGTTGCCTAGCAACCAACCGGAGATCTTATAGTGTAAAATCTTACCTAAGTTTCGTTGCTTGCCAACAGTTTAACTCGTAAAAATATCATCATTCGGTGAAACGACGCGTTGGCTTAGGGGATAATATCGGCTTATTTATATTCATAAGATCATCATAAAAATAAGCAATGTAATTATTCCACTTCGGTGATGACGTATTTTAAGAGAAGGCAGGACAAAGATCCGACACTTTCATAAAGCCGCCATAAAATATGTTACCTTACTTCAATCTCCATTTTGGACATCGGTCCCTTTGGGAGAGTCCCTACAGGAAACAGATACACGTAACAGCGTACACAACTCAACTTAGAATTGAAAGTGAAGATAAGGACGCACTGTGTGGTCCAGAACATAGTTGTCAACTCCATATGCGCTGTCAGCAGTTCCGAACTTTCTGGAACACGTTAATATCTCACTGGGTAAAAAAACCCACTTTAGTAGAATAAAAAATAAAAACATTTTGCATTTTCTATAAAAACCTGTATCCTCGCGAGTCTGTATGAGTATTTCTTTTGTTATTGTGCGAAGATGCATGACAGATTCTGAATGAGATGTTCCAGAAATGGGTTGGTGTGGGCAGATTTTTGTAATGATACACACATCACTAACTCTATTAAATTACCGTGTATCTGCCATTACATTCGTAATGTTTGAGAGAACGACTGTAAGAGGCTTCAGCAATGCCATCTATGAACAGCCTATTCAAACAGCAGCAGGCGCCAGATTATGACACACTCGAGTCTCCACGAAAGGTTTCCTCTGTGTCTCTATCTCTCTCTCTACATGAACCTACTCTCTCTCTCCGCGTTAAAAACCTCCGGTCTTATGTATACACACACACACATCAGAGTGCGTGCGTGCGTGAAGCTGCCTGTTATCCTCAACAGCATCATGGCAGCCGTTTCTCATGCTGATACAAGTGATTATGTATGTATAAACGTGGTAATTTCAAAAGGAAACAGGAACATCTAGTGTACATATATCACAACACGCATGACAGACTTTTTTTTTAATTCTGAAAACCAAATGTGTGCGTAGAAGTAAAGATACGTCATCTCGTCAGACCGTCTGTGGAAGAGGGCAGAGATGGGAGGAGCATTTGAAGGGAAAGCAGGAAATGTATGGAATAGCGGAAGAGAATGAATGTAAAAGAGAGAGAGTTGAAGTGGCAGGTTGATAGAAGAGAAGGAGAAATCTATGGATGGATCTCCAGTTGAGTTTGAAGTTTCGACAACCGAGGTAAACTCCTACTGAATATACGAACGGCAAGTATCTGCTGTACGATGAAAAGATGAGAAGTGATCAGAGGGGAACGAAGGGAAAGTAACAAGTAAAAGGGAGGGGGGGAAGTCCCTTTCTGTTATTATGTAGCCCATCATTCATAATGATGATGGATGACTTCGGGTTAATAAATACGCGAGCCGAAAGACTGCAAGGAATTAATTAATGTGGCTCTAAAGACAGATAGGAGAAACGACAACCATTTCTACCCTGCAGAAAGAAGCGATAAGTACCACGGAAATATTAATAACAGAGAACAAAACGTATCATGACATAGCAGTCCAATAATTCAGCTGTTCTAGTGAGCCTACAGATGTATTTGATGGAGCATTAATTTATTTTCGAAGCTGATGTGTGAACGGGAATGAACATTTGGACGGCGAATTTCTTGATCAGCTGAGACACTTTCAGCTTCTCGGAGAAAACTATCTTCCGTGGAATCGGTAAGATTAGCAACCATTTTTTGGTGTTAACGGTTAAAAGCGTCGCTGTGAAATTCTGTAGCATTGGTTCATTATCTTTACACACATCTTTGTAGGAATTAGGTTCACTAGAGCCCGCCACTGAAGCCTGAGCCAGATTAATCCAATGCAACCTCTCACAATCTATTCAATAACATCGATTGTAATACCATATTCCCATATAAAATTGTCTTCTAACACTAGTATATTCTTTTTAGTATTTGTGGCCTGCTTTGGCTCGAATTTCATTCACAGGTTTGGTTATTCTTGGAATAAATACCAGGAAAAATTGTGGAAGTCTTCATAAACGGAACGGAAAATACGAACCTCGGGCGGAGTACATGTTTTACTCAAAGGATTTAAAGTAACCGTGCATTTTTCTGAAGGACGTTTTTCTGTAGCTCCGACGAGACGAGACTCTTCTGTCCTCTCTAGATTTCCTGTTTTGTAGCCAGCGGGTTCTAGTTTTCAATATCGATACTGTTCAATCTCCTCATAGTTTTTACGTAAACCCATCTACTCTATGCATTGATGAATGAGCTCAAGGACAGTAGCCTACCCAACCCATGTCCCTTCACTAATCCGTTGGCTTATTGCTCCTGCAGACAAATAAACAATAAAAGAAAGAATAAGTATTCTTCTCAGACCAAATATAAGATAATTTGGTGAGGTTTCAATTTCCCACGGCGACGAGTATAAAGATTATTTTCTTCTGGGGTGTTGCGCAATGTAATTTTGTATTTATTGACCGACGTTTCGAAGGTGCTTGCTACCTCCATCAATACGACGAGCCTAATGATGGAGGCAGAGAGCACCTCATGTCTGAAACGTCGGTTAACTCCTAGTAGACTACATGGCGCTACAAAGCAGAAGGGAAAACATGTCGTTTTTAATAAAAAGCGCTATAAAAATATAATGTAAAATCGTATTTACGATTAAGAGCGCTAATATAATATTTTACACAACAAAATGTTTTAATATTATATAATTTTTACAACACCAATAAACTTGAAACGTTTGTGTATAGACTGTACAAAATAAATATATTTAATCAAACACAAACATGACGCATATAAGATACAAAAAGCAGAAGGGAGTGTTCATTATAAGATAATATATCAATTCTTTAACCTAGAGAAACACATAATATCTGCATTTGAAAAATAAATATTAATTGTGATATAAAATAAGAAGAAATAGTAGCTAATCCAAAGACTTAGAATCAATGTAATTCGCTCAAAATAATATGTTCTGGGTAAGGTCCAGTTTTGGTGTTAACTTGAATTCCGTCTTGGGAAACTCGCGAAGGTTAGTGATTTGTTAATGACAATTATTGAATTTATAACCAGCCATCACAAATGTAGGCTGAAATACGATAGGTTTATACCGACGTGTGTACAATAACGTTAACCCTTTGAAGCCGAAGATCGTCTGAATATTATTTATGAATTCAGTCCGTACCGCGAAGAAAACACTACACCTCACCATTACGAAAATCAGCTGGTTAACCCTTTGAAGCCGAAGATCGTCTTCATAATATTTACGAATCCAGACCGTACCGCGAAGAAAACACTTCACCTCACCATTACGAAAATCAGCTGGTTAACCCTTTGAAGCCGAAGCTCGTCTTCATAATGTTTACGAATCCAGACCGTACCGCGAAGAAAACACTTCACCTCACCATTACGAAAATCAGCTGGTTAACCCTTTGAAGCCGAAGCTCGTCTTCATAATATTTACGAATCCAGACCGTACCGCGAAGAAAACACTTCACTTAACCATTAGAAGTCGAATCAGGCGGTACCACATAAGATTTAACATCCCGATCAAAGCCTTAATGATGTTAAGAACGATGCTGTATCAAATGATAATGTTATTTAGTTCCTCGACAGCACAGGCTTTATGAAACACGTGCCCTGTCGGGCATTGAACCCCTGTCGTTTCCAAATCTAGCCGATGCGTGAATTAGTTTCAGATGAAGTGTTTGGGCAGGGAAATCAGTGAAATGAAAAATACCACAGGGCAATGAACTCAGGAGGTGATATTAACTGGGGGGCTACACGGGGCGGGCAGTTGGCCACTGCTCATGTCAGCTTTCGTTCGTTGATATGAAACTGTAAATATCCACGTACATAACAAAGCCCATAGCGTAGAGTCATTGAGAAGATTATAGTTGCTCAGCTGGTCACTAAAAATCGCTTCCCCTTATGGAACATGAAACTTCATTGCCATGTTCACAAAAGTCCGACATCGCAGCGTATATTCTGAGCCATATGAATCCAATCCACACAGTCACACCTCGTTTAATCGTCGATAGCTTGCCCAGACACCCAAAACTATCCTTGCTCGTACGTGTTCCGACTAAATTATACACGCATTTCTTATCTCTCGGTGCGTCCTACATAATAATTTATTGCGACATAAAATAATATCTGATTAAGAGTATAAATTATGAAGTTCCTTAATGTGTAATTTCCTCAGTTCCCGAGTCGACTGATCTCTTTGTATGAAATGAGAAA